CTGTTTTCCCTGTGTTAATGACCTCTTGTCTGTTTATTGGACGATGGCTTTGGATTACCCTTAGAATAAACGCTGCATTTGGATCCTCAACCTTTTGCTTCAGATCAGTTCTGTAACAATAATGCTTAATGGGTCATTAGTTAATATATTAGACTTAATTAGAAATGTGAGATAATGTGCTTGTAAATGTTTGCTAATAAACATATCGATGAGCCACTGATATGTGCATGTGTGAACCGAGCACTTGAAGGGGTGAAATTAAAGTTTTTATGGTTTGTTATTGTTAATGTAAAAAGGTGAACTGATAAAGACTAGTTCCCTATCAATACTTCACTCGTACTGCGTCGCTAGATGCTATGGTGGAAAACTCCTTTTTCTCAGATTACTGAAGCCTTTTTTAATAAAGCAGTGTAACTGCACTGCCATTGGTTCGTGCAGTGAATAAAAAACAAACCAATGGCTTGGCAGCGGAGCTGCACGAGCCTATGGCCATGAAGCCTGCCAGAGCCTGCCAGAATGGGCGAGGTCATCTGACTATATAAGCAGGCATTCTGGCATAGGTTCCTCAGATTTCTTCTCCTTCAGCAACGACAATCTTCTCTTCGCTGATCTACGAGACTCCAAGCCTCTCGCTGTTGACACCTCGCAGTGGATTGAAGCTGACTCAGCAAACTGCGCTACTCTGCTGTTCCCGCTCTGCTCTTCCAGCTCGAGCTGCCTTCAGCGTCCGCACAGCTGTCAGCGCATCTCCTGCTGCCATCCGGTGAGTTCTAAAAATTTCTAAAGAGCAAATTTTCGCCGCCGTTGTTGCAAATACCGTGCCGCTATTGTGGCTCATGCAGGGCTCCCCTGCATGCTGATGATGGCCACTGCGAGAGCCTTTCCTGCCTGGGGGAATCCTACGCAGATGCCGCGCTAACCGAGATGGAATGTTCTCATTGCAAGAACATGAGTCTCGCCTCTCTGCGCTCGCGGATCGCTTTCTTTTCAGAGAGCAACTCCACTCCTCGCACCCTCCCGTTTTCTTCCTCCCAGGAGCTTGTGACGAAAAAACAGCGGGGCATAGGATCTCAGCGCTCAGATGAGAGTGAGCTCACGTCAGCCCAGATCCTGCGTGCCTCCGCCAGCACGGATAACTTGGTCTCGTTTGGTGGAAGGGAGGATGAGTTTTTGAATGACAGTATGTTATTGGAGGCCTCGGACACAGAGTATCTGATGGGCTCGGCCAACAACCCCGCCCCCTTGCCGTCTTCCAAGCCCGAGCGACGCCAAGCCAAGGATGGACACCGAACTATTCCGTGTCCTCTCAAAGGCGGTCGAGGAACTGGGATTGAGTGGTCTACCCCGGAGGAGCCCAATCGCAGTTGCCTGGACAAATGGTTCCTGCCAGGGTGCCATCAGGCCCCTCGTTAGTGAGCCTCTCCGTTATTTCCAGAGGACCATGACGAGCTCACCTGATCATGGAGCCTCCTACTCAGCCCACCTGTCAACTTCAACTTCAACCACCCTCACCTCCGTTGATGGCGTTGAAGAAAAATGGTACGAGAAGTTGCCTCCCTTGGATAAGTCAATAGCCGCGCACCTCTGCCCGCCCACTGCCATTGGGTAGAAGGCAAAAGTCGCTCACCCCTCCAAGCTGTGCAGGACGACATCTGCCCTCGATGGACGAGCTTACCCCTCGGCTGGGCAGGCAGCCTCCGCGCTTCATTCCATGGCAGTCCTCCAAGTCTCTCAGGCCAAGCTCCTCCGCTGCATGGACGAGTCTGCTCCTGATCTGGCCATGTTTAAGTAGTTACACAGTGCGACTGACTTGGCTCTGCGCGCCACAAAGACGACGGCTCAGGACGATCGGCAGGTTCCGCGCTTCATTCCATGGCAATCCTCCAAGTCTCTCAGGCCAAGCTCCTCCGCTGCATGGACGAGTCTGCTCCTGATCTGGCCATGTTTAAGTAGTTACACAGTGCGACTGACTTGGCTCTGCGCGCCACAAAGACGACGGCTCAGGACGATCGGCAGGTCGATGGCCAGCTTAGTGGTGCTGAAGCTCCATTTATGGGTGACCCTCACAGAAATTAAGGGCACGGATAAGGTCCCCTTCCTTGACTCCCCTGTCTCTCCCACTGGCCTGTTTGGACCTGCGGTCAAAGGCATCGCTGAACGCTTCACTGCTTCGCAGAAGTTGTCCCAGGCAATGCGGCACTTCCTGTCCAAATGTTCCGGCTCTGCAACTGCTTCCAGTCGCCCCAAGTCTGCGCCGACTCAGCAGCCCATGAAGCCAGCGCCCCTAACGGCACAGTCTGCTTCTAAGCCTGAGCCTCGACTGTGCTCCCGCTCTGCGAAATGCTCCACGTCTCAGGCGTTATCCTGATCTAAGAGACAGGAAGAGGAAGGGGCTAAGTCTTGCTGCAGCCGGACCACTCCTCAGTTTTATTTCCGGCTGCCGAGGAAAATGTGTTTGTTGTAAACGATGTGCCCATACAACGAGCCGCTGTGATAATGGGCAAAATAAAACACAAACATACTCAAAAAGAGAACAAATTTCCTCTTTCACTTATCGCGAGTGTTGGGTCCCCTCACAGCGACCTACCACTCGAGTCAATACAACCCCTTGCCACGCGGGCCGAGACCTGGCAGGCCATCCCCGGAGTGTCAGATTGGGTTTTGGGGATAATAAAGCAAGGTTACTCACTTCAATTCGCTTGAAGAACCCCGCAATTAACGGCATGGTTCCCACCTCGGTACAGAGCAAAGATGCACACGTCCTGCGCTCAAGGTTATGAATTTACTGGCAAAAGGAGCCATCGAGATGGTTCCTCCAGCTCAGAGCGAGTCAGGCTTCTACAGCTGATACTTCCTCTTCCCCAAAATAGGATGGTGGCCTACGGCCCATCCTCGACCTCAGGCACCTGTACCGTGTAACGACCTCATGAAACGGCTATTCAGGATGACTACATTTAAACAGATCCTCTCACAAATATGCCCAGGGGACTGGTTCCCACGGGACTGGTTTTCCCTGGACCTGAAAGACACCTACTTTCACATCCAGATCCTTGAGATTCGCCTTCGAGGGAGTGGCATATCAATATATGGTCCTTCCATTTGGACTGTCCCTGGCTCCTCGCACTTTTACGAAGTGCATGGATGTGGGTCTATGAGACAGATGGTAATTCGCATTCTAAATTATCTCGACAAATGGCTCATCTTAGCCCAGTCTGAGACCGAGCTACTATCCCACAGATCCCTCCTCCTCAGCCACTTGGAATGCCTGGGACTCAGGGTCAATTTTGCCAAGAGCTCACTGTTCCCCAGCCAACGGATCTCGTTCCTGGGAGCAGTTTTCGACTCAGCCCAAATGAGGGTGGTAGTCATGCTGGAACGTGTGCCGGCCATACAGCAGCTCGCGGCCTCCTTCAAAATTGGAGCCTCTCGCCCTCTCAAAACATTTCAGAAGATGCTGGGCCTCATGGCCTCCGCATCTCCGGTGCTACAGTTGGGCCTACAGTATTGGCTGAAACCAAGGGCTCCGCCCCATGCTTGGCATCACAGACGCCTTTGTATCAAGGTGGACCAGGCCTGCGTGGCAGCTCTGGCCCCTTGGAAAAGGCCCCAGTGGTTGGAACGGGTCGTGGCTCTGGGTATGGTCTGCAAAAGGAAGGTTGTCTTGACAGAAGCAACCAACACAGGTTGGGGAGCTACTGTATGTGCGAGGGCAAACCGACTCTCGGTCCCTGGTCGAAAAAGGAAAGTTAGTTACACATCAACTGCCTGGAAATGCAGGCAGTGTGTCGAGCCCTTCTGACCTTCCTGCCAGACCTAAAAACATGAAGCTATGGTACCATTTGATATTCAGCAGCTCTACAGCCTGAAGGAAACATCAGTTTCTTAGTTCAAACACACCTTTGTAAAAGGTGCAAATGATACTTAATGTATCAAAAGGATGGAGGTTTCGGAGGAAAAGGCTCTTGAAGCTGGTGTCCTCCTCCATCCCAGGGTAATTGCGAGCTCCGAAGTAAGCTCGTCGAAGTCTGTGGTAGTAAGCATGGGGAGTTTCATGCCGGCCCTGTTTGGTGTCTAGGGCAGTGATCAGTCCGTGTTCAGACTCTGGGTCTGAGAATTCCTTTATGATGGCTTGTTTAAGCTGCTGGTGAGGCCACTCTCAGGATCAGTTCCTTTAATGTCCTCAGGATCTCTGTTGCTGGCCCGTGTGCTCTCCCGAGTCAGTTCTGGGTACTGTGCAGATATGGGCAGGATTTTAACAGTCTCTATAGAGGCAGCGCTGTGTCCTCTGTAGGCCATATGGGCTGAGTTCCGCAGATGTCAGGTGGTCATTGTGCGGGGGAAGGTCATGGCGCTTGGGTGGTGACTCACAATGTGATGCAGATTTCGGGAGGCGGGAAAGTTCTGGAGTTGAAGCCTTCCTCCCTCGTGGCCTGTTTTGTCGTCTGCCGTAGACTCAGAGTTGGCTGCAGCAGGCTTGTTGTAGTTTTTGTAATCCGCTTTGACAGTTTCAGACTGCTGGTACAGGATGTGTACAGGTACAGTGCCTCAAGGCCGGAGATGATCCTGAGCAGATAGTCTGTCTTGTGTGGTCACATTGGGCAGAGTTCAAGCATAAAAGTCCATGTTTTGCAGGTGGGCAAGTGTTGTGGCCCTCTGCAGTATTTAGGTTGCCAGTTGTATTGTCTCTGGCCAGCTTGTTGGGGTCTGTGGGGTCACACGGTGTGTGTGTCTGCAGTGGTCCTCTGGAAGGGTCCCTGCCCCACCCCCTTGTGGCTGCTGGTTGGTGACGTGTGAACAGTGGGCTCTCCCCCCCT